TATATATATTATTATAGAATGAATTGTTGCACATATAAATATATAGGTATTAAATAACATAAGGAGTTTTTATAAACATTTGAATGATTTATATGTAAAACTCTAAGAAAATCTGTTATCACATATGCAAATTCATAAAAATTGTGTGTATGCACATAAATCTTGAAATATCAATTTGAAAAGAATCATCAAAAGGGGTTATCCAAAGAACCAAGAAATTCTCCTCGATTGCAACTAACCAAATAATAACCCATCGAAAAGCACTATAAAGTGTGTTATCCAAGAGGAGAAAAACAACTTTCTTACTCCTTAAAGAATTGAAAAATAAACATAATGGCTCATGATTACGGGCTGAAATTTAATAGATCTTGGATAAGACTTATAAAGAATCTCAACAAAGTTTAAGCAAAATACATAAAAAAAAGGAACTTGGCCCAGTTTTTGTGGCAAACTAAGAAGCAAAAGATTCAAGATCAACCATTATGGGACTTTCACTGTATCTTTTAACAAATTCAACATGCTAATCCAATCATTTAATTCACAAAGATTATGAAACATATGCATTCAAGCCCCACAAAGCTCTTTGATAAAAGAGATACAAATAAAACAAATAAATGAGTGACTAACCTCAACCATATTTCCTGAATATTTTCAAACAATTTCAATCCATATATATTCACACAACAATTAAACTCTGCTTTCCACATTACTATAGCTCAGATTTTTTTAATACCACAACAAAAATATCACCAATAAAGCTGTTCATGCGTAAAAAAGGTTGTAAATATGAAAAGAAAATATAGTTCAATTGTTTGATATGCAAATACATAAGAAATCGTATGGTATACATTTTGATTTTCAAATGTTGGACTAACAATAGCACAAGATAGCAATGATTTACACAGGTTCATTTAGAAGAGCTTATTCAATTAGCTTGGTTTCAATAACATTTAGCAAAGTTTAAGAGAAGATCAAACACAAGTGAGCATCAAATAATCATTCCTTAGCAGCCCTTACAAATTTCATATGGCTATAATGTTGTTTTAATCAAATCTCAATCGTAAACGGCCAAAACCGATCACAATCATTGTCCCAAACCAAATTCCTAAATCTTATTATGACAACATAAACCACAAGCAAGCATCAAAACATTCTTTCCAAACATGAATATCATTTAAAACATATGGTTTAAAGCATATACTTCAAGCTTTAGATGAATGGAAGAAGAAGAAAAATCCAAACCGACCCTAAATGGTCTTAATCAAACACATTTTAGCATTAATTTCTAGGGATTATGATTTGCGATTATTGAAAGAAACCTAGAATTCAATGCTAGATGCTTTGAAACAGTAATCTAAAAGAAAAGCTAGCATTCTTGTAAATCAATTAATGAAAAGATATGATTTGATTCAAACATCTAAAGTAAAAAAAATAAATAAATCAACCAGAAAACATGAATCAAGAAAAGCAAAGTAAAGGATTAAGAATCCTAACCTAAAGTAATCCAAATCCTAAAGCATGTGATTCCCACATTAAAGATGTATAAAAAGATCCGTGAACAATTATGTTCAAGCAAATAAGGAAATAGGAACTTAAATGACTGATTGAAGTTTCTTGTTGTTTGATCGGAATAAAAGAAGAAAGAAATCCTTATAGCTCAAATGATCAGAAGAATGAGTAGATTCTCACGGCCTAAACGATCGGAGGAGTAAGAAAATCTCACCCCGAATGATCGGAGGAAGAGGAAGCTCTCGTGCGCATCTTGAGGAGCGGTAGAAATCTCATGAAAAGTGACAGGAGGAGACGGTTGAATGAATCATGAATGCTTTAGGTTTCAGCTAAGCAGGACCATGAAAAGACCTGGGTTTATGTGGCCATGAGTTAGGAAGGGGATCGTGTCGAGTTTGTAGTTAAACCAAACAATCAATCAAATGTCGTCATCTCAACAAAACAAATCTAATGGGCTGCTAAGTGGCGCTGAGGTGACGAGCAAAAAAAATAATAATTAATTGATTCAATTAGATATGAGAAGCAAGGTTTTGAAAACTAGAACGGACATCAAACCGGAAGAAGGAAAGGTTCAAGGTTCATCAGTTCGGGGGCTGAGCCGGATGACGTGATAAATGTAAATAATTATTTTTTAAATTTAGAAAATTATAAGCATAGCATAAATGATTCATTAATCATATTAAAGTATAAACTTAGACAAATATATAACATAAATAAAATATAAACAAAAAAACTTCAGAGTTTCACAAATATTTCATAAAATTTTACTTGAGATAAAAAAAAAGAAATAAGTAAATAACACTTAGCAATATAAATAAAACTAAAAAACTAAAAAAAAATTATTTAAAGATGACAAATTCAATGCATTCCAAAGAACTCTTAAGAAGGCATTCCAAAGAAGCGAAGAAGTATTAAATTGACCACAAAAAAGACACAAACTTGAGTTGCTTCAGCTTTTATTACTTAAAAATACGGCAATTTTCATACATACCACTCAATTTCAATGCATTTACATATCTACAACTAAACATTACTTTTTACATTTACACCACCCAAGACATTCATATCACATAACCAAAACAAAGAGGCATCATCAATAAAAAAATCTTCCGGACAAAGAGTTCTAGATCCAAAACAAGATGTAAACCCTAGCCAGGCCAAAAAATTATTAGAAGCCTTTATATGTTAAAAAACTAGAGAAAACAAGAAAATTAGCTGCGGTTTGCATCCGGTGCAGTGTAAAATAGAAAGTGAGAGGAATCTGTCGAAAGTGCTGATATATTTCTATAGAGCATAAAAATCTCTCTAACGTAAATACATAAGAATTATGTACAACTTCATCTATAACCTTGGCTAAGGCTTTTTACACCGATCCATTAAAAATATAATCAAACTTGACCAGGAAGAACTTTTACTTGCTCTGTTCTAGGTGGAAATGGACCGAATAAGTCCATAACCCAAACATCAAAAGAACTTGCACTAGAAATAGTCTGTAGTTTGTGAGAAGCTTGTAGCCGAAAGGGGGCGAATTTCTTACATTGCTTGAAGTGAAATAGCAATGAAAAGTTCTTCCTCGGCATATGGAGGAAAGAAGAAACGAAAAGCCATAACAAAATGCGAAGCCCAAAGGCCAGAAAATGCTTACAGTGGACGGGGAAGGTGTGGAGAAGAGAAGGGCTGAAAGAGAGCTTCGATCCTTACTCCCTAGAGCCTTCGTCTGTCCAGGGTTCTGCCGTTCGACTGTTGGAGAGCTTCCGACCGGTCGAACCGGGACGGGATGGGAGATTTGATGTAATCGGACCGGTTGGCTCCGATCTGATTTTTAAAACTTTGATGAGAAGAATTTTACATTTAAATTTTTATATAAATTTAATTTTATTATTATCATTCTATTTTTAAGAAATTTAATCATTTTATTTTATTTATTATTTCATTACAATTTTAAAATTATACTGATTGATTTATATATATATTTTTTAATTTCAAGCTATTTTAGGATTGAATTGGTTTTATTTAAAATTTATTTTATTAATTATTTTAATTTTATATGTAAATCTTTATTTACATTTGATTAAAATTGTTAAAATTTTCTATTGATAATTTATTTAATTTTTTAAAAAAGTTTAAATTTCTTTTATTATTATTATTATTTATTATTATTTAATTACAAATTTGTTAATGGTTTAATTTTATCTATGTTTAGTAAAAAAATAGTTAGAATTTTATGATTTGATTGGTTTTCTTTATTGATTTCAAATTGAATTTAAAATTTCTTGATAATAATGATTCATATTTTTAATTCCAACTTTAGCTATTTTTTTAATTAACTAATTTCTCATTTAAATTTCAATTATTAACTAAATTCCAAACAGGTTTGAGTTCATCTCGGACCAAAGGCGTGAATTAAGAACAAATATTAAGCCTGATTGAGAGAGTTTTGTAAAATAAGAAGGCACTTAAGTCGTAAAGTCAAGTTTCTAAGGATGAAAAGGTTATTTCGGGCATTTTAAACATGTATGAACTCAACTTGAACAAAAGGTTGAGGATTCAATGCCAAATACGTGAAATAACAATGAGTCAACAAATAATTCAATTTCTAATTGTTGTGGATCTCGTCATTAGTCTTCTAGGCAAAGTCATTGGGAAACCCTAAGGCTAAATCCTGAATTCTAGAGAAGAAAAATCCAACCCGACCCTAAATTGTCTTGATCAAACACATTTTAGCATTAATTTCTAAGGGTTATGATTTGTGATTATTGAAAGAAACCAAAAGTTCTATGATTGATGGTTCAAAAAATTAATCTAAAAAAAACTAGCATTCTTGTAAAGGAAAATTAGATACCCTAAACCCAATTCTAATGCATTTACTTATCCCACACCAAACTTTAATTTTTATAAGTTAAACACATTTTCCTATGTTTGAAAAGTTGTATGAAAAGGTGGATTACACTTTTTCCTATACGTAGGGCGCTTTTGTAAAAATTGAAGTTTGGGTGTGAGATAAGTAAATGTATAAGAATTGGGTGTTATATATATAAAAACTCATTCTTGTAAATCAATTAATGGTAATATATGACTTGATTCAAACATCTCAAGTAAAAAAAAAAAATCATAAGAAAATTAAAAATCAAGAAAAGCAAAGTAAAGGATTAAGGATCATAAACTAAAGTAATCCAGCCCATAAAGCATGCGATTCCCGCAGATCAGGGGCGGAACCAGCTTCTTTTGTATTGGAGACAACTGACCTCCTAGTCAATGGCAAGTGATATTCAAGAAGGGGCAAAACTAATATTTTTGAATGGGCAAAAGATGTATAAAAGGAATTATGAGTAATTATCAATTATTTTTGAGAAATTGTCCCCTAGATCCCCTGCTCACATTAAAGATGTATAAAATGAATTGTGAGCAATTATGTGGCAGAAAATAAAGAATTGGGACTTAGCTTTACATATTGAAATTTTTTTGCGGTTGATCGGAAG